TTTTCTGTACAAGCCCTAAACATGAGTAATCAAACACATTAGGGAAGTACACTTCGGTCTTGCAAGCGGAAATGCCATCAATGCTTGTGTCCTGGAATATCTTAAAAGAGGTTACACTGGCAAAAAAATCCTCATAAGATCTGATAGCCAAGCAGCTATTAAAGCATTAGCATGTAAAAGAATCACATCAAAATTAGTCTGTGAATGCATCCAAGATCTCCAAAACCTGGGTAAACCCAACAACCTGATGATATCTTGGGTGCCAGGGCACAGGGGAATTTTGGATAACGAGAAAGCAGACAGACTGGCCAGAGGAGGATTCGCAAGACCATAAATAGGCCCCGAACCTATTCGTGGGATAACAAAAACAAATACAGAATCCTCCATCGCAGAATGGATCCAAACAAAACAAAAGGAGAAGCGGATAAGCTCGAGAGGTGCAGCACAGTGAACTTACGCTGAAACAACCCTCACCAACTGGCAAACTCTCTACTCCAGTTGGAGAGGGCCAGATTGAGAGGACTGATAGGAAATTTAACCGGTCACTGGCATCTGAGAAAACATCTTCATAGCACGATGATCCTATTTGCAGAGTATGTATTGAGAAGAAAGAAACAAGCCCCCATACCACTTTTGAATGCGTCTCAATGGAGACATAACCTAGCATACAAAAAAAACTTTGGGAATGAAATTGTAGCAGCGACAGCCAATGTCCTTAATACTTCTGAGAAGAATGGTTGAGTCGATTACACTAAACTAGAGAAGTATGACAAACAATAGGCCAGAAGGCTTTAGTGGCAGGGAGCACAAATCCCGCTTCCTGGTATCTTCTATCTAACACCATCACCAGGACACTAAGAAATTTTTTGGTTAATGTATGCAGTGCTAAACCTGTAGTTTGGTTGTTTTCGATCTTCCTTATCCGATTATCATTATGTTTTGTTTAGCTAGATTCGTCAATTGGTCAACTACAGTGGTTTTTTAGTGTGTTTTGCTAGTGAAAGGTGCAGACTCTATAAATAGGACAGTACTGATAAGAAAATACAGACCCACCAGAGAAAATGTTGAAATAATCGTTTTTCCCCCTTTTTTTCCACTTTCCACCACCCCGCCCTACCTGAGGAAGACCCCATACCGGTGGACAAATGCTTTAGCTTAATCGCATTTATATATCTAAGAGATTTCAAATAAATGGGATAAAATTACCTCCCACGATCTTTCCTTCAGGCGAGACCGCTGGTAGGTTTTCGAAGGAACAATATTTTCATTTTAAAGCCTAAAACAAAAGGTCTTCCCTTGCTGGTTTCCACTTGCACACTTACATTTTCCTGATTTAATTTTCTATATATTTATATTACCTAAAATTGTCTTAATAAGAAGAGGAAAACAGCTCGAAACCCTAAACCTAAACTTATGTTTAATTATGCAATAAATAAATAACGGTAATAAAACTCTAACAATAACAACAATATTGAGATAATCAGAATAAATAGGGACTTGCTCATTTAAGCGTAGTTGAGGCAAAGCCTTTTAATGCTGCAAATGATTTGATATCTCACAGTTTATGGAGATTAGGCGGTCATTCTGCTGAGGTGATGGTCTTTCGCAAACGTTCTCTTTCCGCATTGAATTTGGTACAGCTGAAGAGTTTATGTTCGGCGTCTTCTTCAGTGCTGCAAACGGAGCATAAAGGGCTTTCTATTTTCTTATATTTATGGAGATAGCTTGCGAAGGTTCCATGTCCTGATAGCATTTGGGTGGTCCAGTAGTCGGGGTGTGCCATTTTGCTTTTTGTGTCCTTTCAACGTTGGGGAAAAATTTGGATGTCAGCCGTCCTTTATTGCTGTCTGTCCATCTTGCTTGCTACCCTTGTCATTTTTCCCATACTCTTTTGCCTCCTTTCCAGTTGTGCTTCGGACCCAGTCTATTTCTCCTTGGCTTGCTCCTATATCAATTGCCTCATTTTTATTTTTTTGGTGGATGACCACCCTTTCTTTAATGGCAAGATCTATTGGCGGTCGTTGGCTATTACTTGTAAGGAGTGCGTACATCCTATAAGATCAAATAACCGAGGAAATGTGATCCACCAGGATGATTGGAAACAACCAAACTGTTTGAAAAAATGTTGCTAAGTGCCGATGAAAAATAACATTAAAAATAACACATACAAATATTTAATTATAATTCAGCACAGAAACGGAAACAGATCCAGTTTACATATGCAACAGATTATGGACTTACAAGATATTTCAAATTTAATAATAGAATACCAAGCTAAATATAAATATGCAACAAATAATTTATTAAAAGAACAGTCCCAACGCACAATGAAAATGTTTTCGACAGTTTGGAACACTGAAAATGAGTCAATTTCTATATACTAATAACTAAAAAATTAATGCATAGTTTACTAATTAAGACCGTTTTCCACTTGTTCATTATATAAGCTTAACAACCTAATACATAATATAATTCATTAAGCATTATGATAGTAGTTCTCGGTAAGTATAAAGTTTGCTTTCTAATGGAAGTTGCAAATTATTCGATCCGAAATGTTAACTAATGGCTTAAAGCAGCTTAAAGACGTTTCAAACTAATTGAATTATTCTCAAGAGTAAGAAAATTGTTGAACAATTTTCGTTATATTCCATGGGAAAAAAAACAACAGTGTGAATCTTTGTAAAATGATAACTATATTTCAAATTATTCATTTTTTCACTCTTAAAGTTTGGGTCTTATTGTTAGTCAATAATATATAATATTGTAAAATGATCAGGTGAAGGAAAGAGAGAGTGTGAGAGAGAGATAGAGAGAGAGAGAGAGTGATGAGGGTGATTGCGTGCGTTTGTGTGTAAGAGTTAGATATAGAGGCATATAGACCAGAAAGACAAAGATACATAGATACAAAGAGATTGATAGAAAAATGTATATTGCGTTGATGTAAGAGTTAGATCGTAGGAGAAAGATCCAGAAAGAGAAACAAAATCAAACAGTTTATTATTAAAATGTAAAAACAAAGTGAGGGTAATAGAAAGAGAGAAACATGCAGCACAATAAACTAACTTCCTATTAACTATGATGATTGCAATCTCATCTAAAAATTAATATTATAACGTTTATTTATAATCACTTTATAAGTTTTTCAGACGTCATTGTGTCGTCAATCCCAAACCGGGAATGACGTTAAATCAGGTCGTGCTGTCGTCAAAACTCGGTAAGTCCGCGTCAACGAGAATATCGACGAATAAAGACCAAGGAAACTTTTGCCATAGTTGAATCATTGCTTGAGTCGTTTCTTCATTTTATCAAATAAATTCGATAACCGATGGGGTAACTGACACAATTCAAGCTCCTCAGTCAATCATGTTATACTGACAAATTGACCGTCCAGCCATAAATGATATATCATTGGACAAGGCATAACGCCTTTCGTTGGACGGATGTTTATACGGTAATAAAAGTGATCTATGAATTTTTTTACATTTTTTTTTCTCTGATGGTTGTTTATTATATTTCTCAATTTTATAGCATTCTGATTCTTCCCAATGACATTATTCATCCTCGGGGAATTCTCAAAGTTCTGAACGTATACTATAGTGATTATTCAGAAATCGTGAGATGCGGTCTGGTGTGTCGTAGGTTTCAGAAAAACATTTTCTTTATCGCGCCAACGTTTCGATCTTTATTAGGATCATCTTCAGGGCTCAAAGTGTTTGTTTTATGCGTAATTGTGCCATTCTTGTCTGTCGTGTTGCGAGTGAACAAATTACGCAGAAAACAAACACTTTGAGCCCTGAAGATGATCCCAATAAAGATCGAAACGTTGGCACGATAAAGAAAATGTTTTTCTGAAACCTACATCACACCAGACCGCATCTCACGATTTCTGAATAA